AACAGGAGATACATCCTGGGTATGAGGATAAATTACATCCATGTCCTGGGTAAGACAATAAACTACATCCAGCACCAAGACCTCTGATCAGGAGATTTTGAGGAGCATGGAACTACCTCTTAATTGCTGGTGTTCCCAGGTCCACCCTGACCCGGGGTGGTAGCATCTGTTAGAGTCTCAGCTATGAGCAAATAGTTAACCCCAAACTGGGGACAAAACACTATGAAGGTGTAAAAATAGGTTTTAATACCAGCCATGAAAATATTACCAGCAATAAAAATCTTGTTGGCTTTAAACAACCCATTTTGATGTTATGCTGCAAATCAATCAATCAAATCAAATAGGAGACAAGAATGAAATTACAAACAATATTTCCTTAAGGAGAAAACTGTTAAAAATATAATATTGTTTGTAATTTCATTATCACTTTTCTAAGATCAAAGATTAAAAATAACTTTGAGCAAATGAAGCCAGTAGGTCTTTGTGGGGACCATACTTCTTTGAACCTTGTGGACAGAATCGCAAGCAAAGGACTGTGCCAAATAAGGTTTGGTTTTTGTTTTATGGCACATCAACCTCAATGGGTGATTTAATGCTGAGAACTTTTTTTTTTTTTTTTTTGCCTTTTTCTGGTAATACCCTTGTTTTGTCAAAAATCTATTTCTGTTAATATTTTTTTCCTCAAAAATTTATAGCTGGTAATATTATTTTTCCAAAACGTATAGCTGATTAATATTATTTTTCCAAAACGTATAGCTGGCAATATTATTTTTTCAAAACATATAGATGGTAATATTTTTTCAAAAACATACAGCTGGCAGAATTATTTTTTCAAAAACGTATTATCAGAGGCCTTGCTGTTGGACGTAGTTTATCGTCATACCCAGGACACAGCTGTAGTTTATCGTCATACCCAGGACGCAGATATAGTCTGGGTGTTAACTATTTGCCCATAGCTGGGACCCTAACAGGTGTTTCCACCCCGAGTCAGGGTGTATCTGGGAGCACCAGCAATTAAGAGGTGGTTCCATGCTCCTCAAAACCTCCTGATCAGAGGTCTTGCTGTTGGATGTAGTTTATTGTCTTACCCAGGACGCGGATGCAGTTTATTGTCATACCCAGGACAGACTGTGCCAAATAACAGAAACATCACTTGAGGACTTTCAATAGCAACAACTAAAATGGATATCACATGTAGCTCAAAGAGAAAATGACATGATCAAGATGTTGACATTTCACACTACTTCCAACAAAAATTTACGAAAGAAAAACCACTCATCAATACTAGAAAGAGTAATAACAGTTACTGGACTTGAGAAACCTACTTTTTCTAAAAAAAATCGTTTTAATTGAAAAATGTTATAAATTTCAACTGTAAGTAGCACTGACCATTTGGTCAATGTATATTGAATGTTTCCTTATAAAGAAACAACAAATATTGTCAAGATTAGTCCAAAAATATAAATATTTATAAATTTCAACCAAATGCAACACTGACTGTATGGTCTATAAATCCCAAATGTTTCCTATTGTGCTACAAAAACAGGAAATTGTGGAGAGTCATGATCGCATACATTTTGAAGGGATACAGCACATAGTATTTTATTCTATCAGCTATATACAATCATTTTCTCAGATCAATGGTCAAAAATGTTTCAAGCAAATAAATCCTGTAGGTCTTAAAGAAGACAACCCTTCATCAGATCTTAAAGACTAGTGTTACTGAATCACAAAGATCTCTAGCAAATAACAACCAGCTACATCACCTGAAGACTTTCAACAGAAGCAACAAATAAAATGGATAGCATATGTAAATGTAAGAGAAAAGGACATAATCAAGATGTTAGCTTTCCACACTACTTTAAACAAAAAGTTAGGAAGGAAACCCCCCCATAAATGCTAGAGAGAGAGAATAGTTTTCAGACTTAAGAAATCTATTTTCCTGAAAAATTGTTTTACTTGAAAGATTTAAAAAATTTCCCCCAACAATAACACTAGTTGTTCACTCAGTGAATGCTGAAAGTTTTCCTTATAAGGAAACAGCTAATATTATCATTATCTTTATACAGGGTGTATCAAAAATATTTTTTACAAACTTTGGGAGTTGGTTCCTGACAATAAAACAAGGTAAAATGTCTATATAAGCATATGTTCAAAAGCCATGAAGAATGTGTTCTTCATGGTAAGTATATGAGTTTATCTCTGTCTTCCTTAGTCCATAGTTTGTGGTGCCATTGATCCTGTCTCAGCAATACAAGAAGAAACGGGAGAAAAGGTTGGATGCCTCAGTTGTCTTCAGTCTGTAAATGTCATCTGATACAGTTATGCAGCCTCAAATCCATTACCCTTCGTGTGGCCGTATGTAAAAATCATATCTGCCTGCTCATGACATAAATATCCTGCTGTGAGCAACAGTTTGAACAAGGCCAGCACGCTCCAACCCTCAGTCAAAATGACTTGTGACTTTATGCTAGCACAACCATCAATGGCTCCCCAAAGAGTTCCATCCACCCAATTGGACTCACACGGCTTCAATCAATCTGTGGTATGGTTTTCAGACATTTTCCAAAGTGGCCACATGCTGGAATCACCTCCCTAGCCTTATAACATTAAGAAATCACCTTCCTGACAAATCAACCATAGGGAAATGCAAACCCGGGTTTCATGGTCAGAATGCAAACATTCTAATCCCTCAGCCATGTGCCCATGATATTTCCAAATATTTACTTGTTAATTAACTTAATATCTTATTTGTATGGTTTATTCCAACAGTAACAACAACAAATTTGGTAGCACATGTAACTAGGAGGTGGGAAAATAATGATGTAATCAAAATGTTGGCTTTCTACAATACATTAAACCTATGTTTAGGAAGGAAACTCCCATCAGTAATAAAAAGAGCAATAATAATTAGTGGACTTGATAAGATTAATTTACTTTTTAAAAAAAAAATGTTTTAAGATTTTTTTGTAAACTTTAACCAATAATAGCACTTGACGATAAACTACGTCCAGCAGCAAGACTTCTGATCAGGAGGTTTTGAAAGAGCATGAAACCACCTCTTAATTGCTGGTGTTCCCAGGTCCACCCTGACCCAGGGTGGTAGCACCTGTTAGAGTCCCAGCTATGAGCACTCCCCAAACTGGAGTCAAAACACAAGGAAAGTATAAAAATAGGTTTTTATAATAAAAATACCAGCAATACATTTTCTTGAAAAGAAAAAAAATTTTTCCATCAATACATTTTTTTTTTTTTTTTTTTTTTTTAAAAAGAAAAAATATTACCAGAAATAAAAAATCTTTTCAGCATTAAATAACCCATATGAGGTTGAAATTCTGTAAACCAAACCAGTCAATGAATTGGCAAATGTTTCCTGTATTGAAACAGTTAATTTCATCTTTACATATGCTAAAAATTCCAGTTATCCCTGAAAGATGCAGTTTTTATACTAACAGATTGCTTGAAACTGTAATGTTTTTTTTGTTGTTGTTGTTTTTTTTTTTTTTTTTGTTTTTCATTAATGCTCCATTGGAAGCACATGTGGGTGCACCAAATGTTTTCGCATTTTTCTTATCAGCAGGCTTTGATATTATTGCATTTTGTCGTCTTTGCTTTTACCCATAATTACTGCAAGCTCATATTTTATTATCAGCTTGTGGCAGAACAGACTATTATCAGAAATCTCAACCTCCCCCATAAACTTCTAAAATAATAACTTGTCAGTCATCCATCTGTTGAACTTTTGTAATTTGACTCAATTCTTTTTTTTATCTTTTTTCATCCTCAATCCAGAATCCTGTTTGCTAAACTCTTCATTTTTTTCTTCTTCTCAAGGTAAAATGATTAATTTCTTCCACTAAATAAAAAGAACATTTCTTAGTACTATTAACCATTTCCTTATAAGGAAACAACTGGCATTTACTGACCTACCAGCCAGTACTACTTATGGTTTAAATTTATGAAATCTTCAAAATGGTTTTCAGTCAAATAGGTTTCTCAAGTCCAGTGTAAGAAAACAGCTAATATTACAATTACCATTAATAGTTCTGTAGCTCAATCCTTAGGCTTGAGCGAATTGGAACCATAAAACAGATTTGAATTCTCCTTTCAAGTTGCACTTGCTTACCTTGTACTTTTTAACACCAAAAACCAGATTTTCACCTCTTTATCCTAACGAATCCTGTCTCATGATCTACCTTTAGTGATTTTCTACCATGAAACAATATAAGTGACGAAGATAACAGTAATTACACAAACATTGTTGCTGGTGGTAGCAGTAATATTTGTCGTTTTCTTATGAAGAAACATTTGGCATTCATTCACCAAGCAGCTTGTGCTATTGCCAATTGAAATTTATAAAAATTTTCTACTAAAACAGTTTTTCAGGAAAAATTGGTTTCTCAGGCCCAATAGCTGTTATCACTCTTCCAAGTATTAATGGGGATATTTTTTTCCTAACCTTTTTATTTGTAGTAGTGTATAATGCCAACATTTTGATTATATCCTTATTTTACCTTTGAGTTACATGTGATATCCATTTAAACACAGTTACTATGACAAATTGCGCACACCCACCCATTTTCAGACACGCATTCGATAGACATATTATGTCATACTTATTACAAAGTATTTACACACATGTTTTGCCCGAACTCTTTCCAAAACAGAAATATATCCGATCAAATGGGTTGTCCCACGCACTTATCTCTGCCAGGACATTTTCCCTCAATATGCTAAATTATCAACGGAGAGTTTTCCTTGCCTTTGTCAGTGGTTCACCACCCTCAGTAAAGTTTTGACGTCGATCAGCTCAGGAACACATTTCGACATCTCTTGTCATTTGAAACCATTGCGTCATGTTCTTGTGAGCATTTATGATTTATAGTGACTATTTCAACAATATCCTTCACATAATCATTTGCTCCAATACTTTAAATAGAACTTGTTTATTTGTCCTTCATTTCAAATGTCTAGCGAATGCAAAGAGGCACTGTGTTGACATGTCTGTTGATACTAGTCACATCAGGTTTTCACTTTTAGCAGCAGAACAGCTTCGTATGTCCGGATACAGGCCTCTCCGCAACTTGTCCACATCTGGGCAGATGTTTGTAATCTGGAATGCTTAATCTTTCTTTTGTGCTGTGTTCCTTCAGGATGTAGGTGATCATGGCCCTCCACCTACTCCTGTCCCTTGTAGTTTTGTCTTTTAGTTATTTCTCCCAGACCTTGTTCTGCCATCCACTTGCTCAAGCTCATTAAGTATGTCACACATTCCCCTGTCCCTCTATCCGTCTTGTGAGTATCATATTTTTCAAGCCCTCCTCCCTACTTACGTGTCCCAAAAATTTCAACTACCACTTCTTGATTTTAAGTATAAGTTTTCTCTTTGATTCAGTTCCATCCAAAACCTCGACATTGCTCACATGTTCAGCCCATGTTATCTGGGGCATCCTTAAAAATGTATTATTTCTAGTCACAGTGCCTGTTGTATAAATCCACCCATTTTTTGATATCTTGTAAGTTATGCATAAAAGTAACGCTTGTGTGAAAGCATCTTGATAATAAGAATCTTGAGAGTATCACCCTAAATATCTCCAAGGCCTTTGTGTTTCTTATATATAAGGTTTATGACTTTTTGTAACCCTATATTCCTGTATCATAATTCAATGAATGCTTTGTTTTAGTTCTTGAAAGAGGCCACCCCCGCCTCACGAACAATGATTTTTACTATATTTGCAATAAGAGTAAAAAAATCAAAACATTTCAGAAACTTTATTTTTCAGTTTGCTAATGATGTAATTGAATAGTACTTATGTATTTTTTTTTTTTTTATTGAACAGTTTATAGCTATAGCATAACATACACAAACAAACAAAACAAGTTCTAGAAGATTCCATAAAGTTTTAGAAGGCTGCAGAAAGTCATAGTACTTCTATACTTATATCCGATTTTAGAAATTTTGTGTAGGGGTGAAATTTTTTTAAAAATAAAATCTATATTAGACTTTTTTTTTTTTTTTTTTTTTTAACAAAAGTACATTGAATTATGATACATAAATCAATTATACAATAAAAAAAAATATATATATATATATATATATATATATATATATATATATATATATGAATTGTGTAAACTTGTCTATAACTATTCAAATATTTTTGTGAAATGGAAACAATAGGCTAAATTTTTTTTTAAGTTCACCCTATACAAGGCTCAAGATCCGCTCAAGCTAGAGGGTTACTGAGTGAGATTGTAAAGAAGAAAGGTGAAAGTAAGAGGACAAGTAGGATAAATATCTGTTGGCCCAAGATTATCATTGTTTGGAGAAGCATTCTCTCAGGAGTTTATTCAACAAAGTAAGACATTTTCTTCTCCAGAACTCTAAGTGGAACTTGCTTTTCATCAAAGGAAGGTGAAGGGAATGTGAATGGTTTGCCACCGTGAACATGACCTGGTGGGTCCTGGCTGTGGCACCAAAGAATGTAACATGTTATCATAATAATTCATTGCTTTTTGTCAATGGAATACAAAGGGAATATGGTGGTTCATCTCTCTGTCTTAGCTGTGAGGGTTAGAGTTTGTAAGCTCTTGTGGTGGGGATGACTTATTCTCCACTCTGTAGCTGGGCTCCTGCAGATACAATGTCAGAGACTTATTGCTCCTCCATCAGTATTCACATGACATGTGTTTAGATGAGCTCTACTCCTTAGTTCCACCCATGTTATGTTACTTCCAAGGAGTTAAATCATCCTTATTTCCTCTGTATTCCAGACATAAGTTCTTCTCAGGTTTTCTCAAGAACTGCTACTCTTATAATCAACATTTCCTTTGAGAAATGTGATCAAGTGTAATGGTTAGCGAGCTTCAATTATGGTTGTAATAGTGAGTTCAACACTCACTGGGTGCACTATAGTTTGGCCTTGTGCCATATCTAAGTTATGCTTAGAAAATCATTTGGGCACCTTGACATGGTGCAATGGTTAGCAAGCTTGTCTTGCTAGAACAGTTACGATTGAATAGTGAGTTCGATCTTTCATTTGAGCATCTCGATATTGTGCTATGGTTAGCAAGCTTGTCTCACTAAAACAATTACAACTGAATAGTGACTTTGATCCTCGTTGGGTGCTCTACATTTTCGGCCTTGTGCCACATCTAAGCTTCACTTATAAAATCACAATAATGCTTACTTCCTGCCACCTCTTTCATTCATATCACAAACCTCATTTATCATAACCATTTTAACAGGAACTTGAGAAATACTGAGACTGTATATTTGCACAGGTCAGCAGAATGTTTTCATACAGGTGTGAAATTTTTACTTTGTTACAGGTATCAGTACTCGTGGCCCTCCCCCAGCTACAGAGGGTAACAGTAAGAACCTGAGCCGTGTGGACAGCCTACAGCTGAAGGCTCAGCTCATTCAAGAGAAAAACCTTTATATTCGTCACCGGACAAGACTTGGGACACCAGCAGTTAATAAAAAATCATTTACTGAGGAAGATTTTTCTCGTCTCACCCTAGATATGAAATGTTTAGTTATTCTTAGTAATATTTTCCTTTTACTTTTTCCTTTCTTTTTTTATAATTGACGTCAGGTCTCTCGAATGCAATATAAAAAAATAAAGTCTTAACATTCTCTCTCTCTGGATATTTTCATTCTTTCTCTTCTTTTCTCTCTCTCTCCTCTTCTTTTTCTCTCTCTCCTCTTTTCTCTCTCTCTTTTCTCTCTCTTCTTCTCTCTTCTCTCTTTCTCTTTTTTCTCTCTCTCTTTTCTCTTTTCTCTCTCTCTCTTTTTTCTCTCTCTTTTTCTCTCTCTCTTTTCTCTCTCTTTTCTCTCTCTCTCTTTCTCTCTCTCTCTTTTTCTCTCTCTCTCTTTTTTCTTCTCTCTCTTTTCTCTCTCTCTCTTTTCTCTCTCTCTTTTCTCTCTCTCTCTTTCTCTCTCTTTTTTTTTCTCTCTCTCTCTCTCTTTTTTTCTCTCTCTTTCTCTCTTCTCTTTCTTTCTCTCTCTCCTCTTTCTTCTCTCTCTCTCTCTTTCTCTCTCTTTTTTTTTTCTCTCTCTTTTTCTCTTTTCTCTCTCTCTCTCTCTTTTTCTTTTTCTCTCTCTCTCTTTTTTTCTCTCTCTCTTTTCTCTTTTCTCTCTCTCTCTCTCTTCTGTTTCTTCTTCTCTCTCTCTCTCTTTTTTTTCTCTCTTCTCTCTCTTTTTTTTCTCTCTCTCTCTTTTTTTTCTCTCTCTTCCTCTTTTTCTCTCTCTTTCTCTCTCTCTTTTTTTTCTCTCTCTTTCTCTCTCTCTTTTTCTCTCAAAAATTTTTTCTCTCTCTCTCCTTTCTTCTCTTTTTTCTCTCTCTCTTTTTTTACTCTTTTCCCTTTCTCTTTTTTCTCTCTCTCTTTCATCTTTTTTAGCTAAAATATTATAATATCCAAATAATTATGGTAAATTTTTTTTCTGTCTTTTGTATTTGTTTCCCCAATGTGTTCATGGTTCTCTTTTTCCAGAGATAACGATTTGTGAATAAATAATTTGATGAGTTTAGTTGTTGCTATTGTTGAACATCTTCAGTTGACATCGTTTCTAATACTTGGTACAGTTCTTTATGATTCTGTAGTAACAATCCACATAGTTCGATGAAGGATGGTCCTCACTTAGTCCTACTGGCTTCGTTTGCTTGAAATCATTTTTAATCATTGTTCTTAGATAGCAGTTTGTATTACAGCTGATAGTCTAGATATTCCTGAATGAGTTTGACACCATGCACGACTTTGATATAAAAGTCTTGATGTGACAAGCCTATTTAAGAACATGACTCAAAGTTTTACGTTAATGTTTTGGTTTTGTAACAATTTGTGGTATTAAATATTCGAACCAATTTAAAACAGCCCATCTCCAACATTCAACTTCCTTGTCTCCTATACTCAATTTGTTATAACTGATCACTAAAATCCAGAGATGTATTGAGATAACCAAGGAAGCATTCCAAAAGCTAATCAATGTATTGAGAAATAAAAACATTTCACTAGATGCAAGGAAACTACTAAACTGCCACATGATATCTGTCCCCATATATAACAGCAAGTGCTGGATGATCTCCTCAAAGATGAAGAGGAGACTTGAAGCAACAAAAATTTGGTTCTTTTCAACGATGCTTTTTTTACTATGGACTGAAGATGTATGCAAAAAAAAAAAAAAAAATGGAGAAAATAAAAAAAAAGAAACTGAATACTTAACATCAGGAAGAGACATTTGATTTTTTCTGGACAGACATTTGGAGGAAAGAGGGCTTGGAAAATTTAATACTCATCAGATAGAGAGACAGGAAAACAATGCCTAATATAGTTAGTGAACTTGACTAAGTGGATGGTGGAACAGGGCTTAGGAAAAATAACAGAAAGACAAAGTTTATTAAGAGTTACAAAGGACAGGAAGTTGTGGAGAGCCATGATGGATTCAGGGTAGGTACTATCACTGCTTTCATTCCAATTCCAGATGATAGTTTTTGTTTTGGTAACATTTATCTTGAGTCCTATTTATTTATGCACTTAGCATTTAAGTATAACATCGTCTACTATCTGAGTATGACTTTCTGCTAAGACAGTTGACCAATCCTTGTTGCAGACGTCTGTTCAAGTACATTTCTGTTCAACAGCAAGAGAGACTACCTTTGGTTTATACTGCAACTATGCTTCTCCAAACCTTAGTTATATAGTTTTTGGAGGAAGTCTAATAATATGGCATGATCAAAACCAAATCATATTTTTTTTCACAGTGACTTGTGACTAGAACAATTTGTTTAAATCAATTTCACTCACAAGGCTTTTTTCAAACTGTGATATGGTTTTGCATAAAATTTTTTAAGGTGATGCATGCTGGGATTTTCCCCAGGCCAATTTATACATCAAGAAATTTAATTTGTAATAAATTCGATCATGATGATCTTAATATATATATATATATATATATATATATATATATATATATATATATATATATATATATATATATATATATATATATAATATATATATATATATATATATATATATATATATATATATATATATATATATATATATATTTTGAAACCTTTTAATGAATATATGCAACCATAACTGGGCATTAATTTAAAGACATACAAAAAATTTGATTAAAAATTCAATATTCAGTTGTTATTTGGTGAATTTTCAACTGACATACATTCTGCCTAAAAAAAAATTCCAGTACAAACTGATTTTGTTTTATTTTTAATTTTTGCTTATAAGTAAACAACATTTTATTTTATTTCATACCTCCAGTTTTATAAATTTATCAGATTTTTCTTCAATCTTTCTTTTTTTAATTAACAGCCCAAATATTTTAACAGAATTTAGTTTTAATATACTTATTTTTTTTTCCTACTCTGGGATAAATATTAACAGTTCTAAATATTCTATTTTGTTCACACCTGCAGTATACTGTTGCATCTATTTTGGTATCCTCCCAACTCACATTTGCATCTACCACCCAAATATTTATAACTGTAATTTTTTTCTAACTGATCTGGTTCTTATAAAATCTGATTTTTTTCAAGTCAGGTACTTACTGGACCGGTACAGGGAACCGATCATTTTACCTGCATCTTTGGTGATGGTTTGTATATAAGAGTTCCAATGGAGGTTGGGTGTAAGTTTGAGACACAATATCCTCTCAAGGCATGGAACCTCCTCGAGGGGACATCTATTCATGCTGACTTTAAAACTTGAACAGGTTAAGATTGTAGGGAGTGGGGGTTGGAAACATCCCCTTGGGAGTCTGTTTCATGCCTTCTACCATAAACTAACTATAAACTTAGTAACTCAAAAATGAAGGATTTGTGTATATATCTTTATATGGATATTTGTCCTTGTTTTGGTGTGAGGAACCTGCCGCCAAAATTTATGGAGAAAAAAAAAATATATATTTTTGATACTGTATGTATGTATGTATGTATGTATGTATGTACATACATGTGTTTATATATATATATATATATATATATAATGAGAGAGATATGCAGGACACATCATGGTACGGCAACACATCTTTCTATCTCAATTTTAACTTTTGAAAATCATAGAACTGTAAAACTAGTAAAGTTATTGTAATATATATATATATATATATATATATATATATATAATATATACAAGCCTGTTTTGCTGTATCACAGCTCATCAGTGTGAGTAAACATCTGATTGCTTCAAGCCAGGATTGAAACTCGACTGATTTGGCATCAGTTAGGGAGACTACTCCTAAGCTATCGACACATGATGCCAGAGAAAGCGAATATTTCAATGTATTATATACATGATGCATATAAATGCCAAATCAGCATATATATATATATATATATATATATATATATATATATATATTGGAATAGAAATTAAAAAAGTGCTCTATACATGTGTAATAAAAATTTAACATGTAGAGCTTTTAAGTATAAAACTTAAAATTGGCTAATCTTATATATATATATATATACACTAAATATAACTTATCATGTGACAGAAATAGTATATATTCATATCAAATGTATACACACGTTTGGAATGTAATTAAGTGAATGGCTCAAAATAAATCGAGCAGTAGCTAAAACATTTCAAGTTGTCAATGAAGCATACACGTGGTGCTTGATGTATGTGTCTGTATGTGTGTGCGTCCAGACATTATTTTTATTTTTTTATTTTTTGCATCTTGCTATCCAAGCAGCAGATGGGAGGCAGCAAAATCAATTCAACTGGGACTTCAGTCTGAAATCATTCAATGAGCAAGCATCCCATCCACAAACTCCTGGAATATTTGTAAGAATTACCCCGAGGGATATGTCTCTGGAATCTGGCAAATGTTTTGCCACTGACAAACATTAGACAAGGAAATGATATTTCAGTTTGATCTTTGTAGCCCCCTCTTTGCAAAGAGCGCTATTAAGTTGATGATTGAGCCATTGCTTCCTCTTCAAAATTCATTAACTTCACTTGCAAGGTGCAGTCACATTAACTGACCAATCAGCTAGCAAGCTGCCGACTTGGTTGGCACATGTGTTATCCTCTTGTGTATTGCTAATCAATGCGTTGTTATAGAAAATAGTTCCATAATGGCCAAGATAGCATTCTTGACATTTAATAATCTTTCAAAAGACTTTCCAGTTCCCTGTGACACTTTATTCTATTTGTGAAGAATATTGATTTTTGGGGGAGTGGGTGGATTAGTGGACAGCATAATTGACTTAAAATGTGTTTATAAAAGAGTGGGATATATAAATCTAGTGTTTTAACTTGTGAATGAATGATTGAAAAAGAAAAGACAACATAGGTATTGGGTTTAAGATGCAATAATCAGAAATGGTTGTGAGAGAGAGAGAATTACCAAAAACAAATGGCCAGTCAATTTCAAAGCAGTTGGCCTACGGCCTTATGTTGAGATACCGGTTCTTGTATAGTCACCAAAGTTAACCTTTATCAATCTGTATGTGACTTCCTTTTCTGTATAAAAAGTTTATTCTGAAACTGAAGGAGACTCTGATTCCTGAACAATAGTGTGTTGAATTTCTTAGTTGTGTTGTCATATCCTGCTATAACAACAGAAAGCAACGTTAAGTGAAATTAACAATAAGGATACTGCAATTGAGATACCTTGAAAAAGAATGCAGTGAAAAGGAAAGTAATATTAATAATTCAGAGTGCTAATGGTTAAGCAACATCAAACCTGTTCATTACCTAGATAGGTAACCGCTTGAAAATACCAAATGCTGTAAGCTTGGATGTGTGGATAATGGCTTGGAATTGGAACTTGGCTCCAATTCCTTTCAGGTTCATTATATTCACTTAGGTGCAAATTCAGTTGGGAAAGATATAAATCCACTTCTACTCTCCCCAGCTATGGGTTAATTAGTAACACATATATGACTAAATCATTATTATTCCCCACCAAAATTCTTAAAATCTAAAAATATTTTCTGCCTTTAAATAATCAGTGTTACAAGATGAGATCTTGCCCTGCTTCGATAAATGGAAGTTACCATCACGAGTCCCTAATCGAAATGAAAATCTACACGTTTTTACGCATAGGCTCAACGAGATACTTCCGTTTGGGATAAACTCGAAAAAAATGAAAAGAATTAAATCAACCAATCGGACCGTCTCCCGCGTATTCAAAAATTGCCATTTGGAGCCGATAGGCGTATAAGTTCAACACGGGAAAGTCAAAAGGTGCCACTCAACGGCGGAGGCAGAAGGGTCACGTCGCTCGCTCCTGACACACTGGCCCGGCGACCAAACGAAGCAAGTGACTGCTGCTGCTATTGAACTCTCGTCCGACGCCTTGTCAAAGGGTACCTTTCCCTCAACTTCTTAAATACAAACTTTTTACTTATTCTTATTTTCCTCAC